GGTGCAGTCTCTATGATGCCTTTGAAACTCGTCCAAGTATACACAATTCAAGGACCGAGCCTTTGAGCCTTTAAAACTCCCTAACTAAGCCGTTTTTCAACCTAACAGCGCCAGATACGGATACGCATGGACCTCGAATTCATCCTGAGAGGGAATCTCAGAAACCATTTTTATCGTGAACTGTGCCTTTAATTGGGCGACAGTAAAGTCTCCAATCGTTCTGTCACCAATTAACGTGGTCGAGTGAAATATCCTCTTTCAGTGGACACGAAATATACCATTCCTTTCTTCACTCAGAGCTTTCATGAACTAGTCTGGGAGGGTTTGCGTTCATCCTGGTGTTCGGTTTGATGACCCCCTGACCGTTTACTAATCTCCTCTTTCCTAGGCCACCACAAATTTACAAAAAATTGTTCTAGCAGAATTTCGCTCCTCGTTCAACCAAATGTCAACTAATTTCGTGATTTTTCTTCATTCATTCTTTCACTGAATGTTCCAGTTATTCTAATCGTCTATATCGTGCTTTCAACTACTGGTTACTCTGTATATGGGGACAGCATGAGAAACACTGTCATCCCATCCCTCCAGGTGAGATAATGATGATAATAATGAAAAATCCAACTTACCCATTGTTCCTAGCGAAGTAGACTATTACCATAATGGTTGATCTTTCTATCTGTTCCCTATAACATGTGCTCCTCCTTTGTAATCACTTTCTTTCAGGAGCTTATTAGGAGTAATCTGCTGTATGGTTTCATTCATTCACCCTTCTCATTGTTTGAGTTGAAGAATTTTTTACTCTTGACATTTTTTAATGGTTTCTCACCACCTCCACTCAGTTGAGTTGTCTTAAGCTCACCTAACTCCCTACTCGATACTAAGTTACTGTCAACTGTTATAAAAAGTTCTATAAGAGCCAAGAGAGGTTCCGCAAGCGCACGGAAATTGTGAACATTCTAGACAAGCTGGCTTTCACAACTGGTTAATGTGATGATCACGGTTCACGTACTGCCAACGGTGGTAATCGTCTACTCCCCTTTGGCTCAGCAGGTCGAGGAGTGGACGAACGTGCCACAAGGGCGTGAGTTAGTGAGATCAGTAGATACCAGCATATGTAAATACACAAGTGATGCTGGTGTTCTTATACAGCATGGACTATGGATGAATTCTTTACTCACTCAGGAACTTTCAGACTTTAGCATGCGTCGATTTGCTATCAGGTCACTAATGCTTTTTGGAATCGTATTCACTGCGGAATCAATACCCCACTTTGGAGTGTTCTTGGATCTGGTGGGTTCTGTAGTGCTCTCCTTTTCTTCCAAACAAGTTCTTTACTGATTCTATTCTGATTCGAAGTTTTGTCTATTTCTAAAAAGTAATATCAGGTTGGCGGTTCAACGATCACCTTGATGACGATGCTGCTGCCAAGCGTATTTTACCTATTCCTATATGCATCTCATAAGAAACGCAAAGATCTCATCAGTACAATGCAAATCTCGCCGGATTCGCCTGACGATCAGCTAGCTGGATTTGCCGAGTAGGATTTATGCTTAACATTGTGGGATCAATTCGTTTCTAACAAGAAAGGCAAGTAGAGGAAACGTATTGCTTAGCAGTTGCTGAACACGCGGAAATCGCAGGCTGATTTTCTATTAGAATGGCAAAACCTTTCTTCGGCAAAAGAAATTTTTCGAACTTAGTCCTAAAATGTACCAAATATGTAAGTCGGATACAAAAAATTCATTACTGTGCAAGAATTCTTTCACTCGCTGAGCAAATCGCTGGTCCTCTCCACAAAAGTTATCTGTGGCCGAGAGAAGCTAATGACTACCATTTTGCGATAGCCATTACTGTAAGTCGGGGCAGAGGTGGTTCAGTGGCAAGTGGCGCACTACATCACTCACACGGTCAGGAGTTCGAATCCCGGATTGATGCCCGACTAGGCCAACCAAGCCTTCCATCCCTCCGAGGTCGGTAAATTGGTTCCAGACTCGTCTGGAGGATAAAAGCACTGACTTGTTCATCGGCTGGTCACTGCAATTCATTGTATAGGCCACATACGCACTCATTACGGCACTACGATTCTGAATGGAAGTCGAATACGGGGGCGCATCCCTCGGACGGGATTGATGAACGCCAAAAACTTTATTCTTTATAATCGTAGTTTAGAACTCTACTCAACCAGAGCGATGTGCAGGCGAAGCGATTGGTAAGCAAGAATGACAATGTTCGAGGAGTAAGGTCAATGAGCAACTTAGAATGAGCCGGGTCCGGTGATTTTCGAAGAGTTTGAAGCAAAATCTCTATCGCGCTTGCACACGGGGGTACACTGTGAAAAAGGTTTGGACGTCTTTTCGTGATCGCATTGGCCAAATGCAGAGTTTGAGTGGAGTCAGAGAAAGCTGTGACCGTTTCGTCTGCGTGCGACAAATTATAGATCAGGTCCATAAAAGTCTTCATGTGCTTCGATGGGATTAGAATTCAACACTTCCACAGGGTGCCACTAAAATCCGTGAAAGAACTCAACTTTAGACCTATGAAAAAGGTCTACGCACTTGGCAACTCCAGATGGCATCTTTGAATAGGTCACACTCCAGAATGGGCCATCATGGGGGCTACTACCTGAAGAAATTTATTGGTACTTTTTCAGTGTTTGGCGATACACTTCCAAGCCACTGCTTCTATTCAATGGCGCCTCTTTCGGTAAGTAATCCGACGTTTGCAAGATATGATTCTGACGGTGGTATGGTTGTTTCAGTATTCGGTCTCCTTGGAGGTATCGCAGCTTCCTATACAGCTGTGTGTGAATTGTTGGACGCGAAAATGGCACCGCCTTGTTATGTTCAATGGTTCACTACCGGTTTGCATGTGGCTGTTTCAAGTGGAGCATCAACCCATTGCTGTGGTCCCTTCATGAATTTGACTGTTAGTGGAGCTGATCCGTTACATGTCTGCCTATAACTCGCGTCTGTCCTTTGAAGATTTCTCTGCTTTCCGGACTTTATGTTAAGAAAGGAAAGGTTTCCCTCGTTTCCTTGGAGCTCCGATTGGAGATCTAGCCCCATCGAGAAAGTTTGTGGTTTTCCCTACAAATATGGTGGAAAAAACTGCTATTTGATTCTTCCATGCAACTTGTGAACACTTAAAGTTGGCCTTAAGTTTGCGGTGACAAATCCAGTTTCCTATTTATTAGCTTCATCTATGTACATTTCAGTAGAAACTTTGGGAAGTGAAGCAGTTCACAGACATAGCCATTCTGTAACTCATGTAAACGCCAGAATTTTGATCGTAGCTTTAGTTAGACCTTCTTTTGAGCGAGTAAAAATGAGTTTGAATTCTCATTGGAGATTCACGATGCACAATAATTTCCTGTAATTGGGGATCCTCCTGTCTTAATCGTGGGAGTTTTGTAAATCAGATCCTGCTTGGGAGATTCAAGAAGCATTGTCAAATTATTACCTATAATCACCAATTCGTACCCCATCGATTTCCTAGATTTTCATTCCGATTTCCAAGGAAATGAGAGAAATCAATCAACATAGGTGATTCCTTTGAAATTACCTAAAACTAGGCAGTACACTGATACTGGATCAGGTACTCATGAGCTGGCGCCGCCCTTGTATCCAAACAGAAAGAAACGTCATTGAGTTCATGTGATTTTCAGATTGTGAAGGAATTTACCATTTAGCGCAAGAGTTGATGAATTTTGTAAAAATATGTATTCTATGTGGTTAAGTGATGTTTTCCATCAAATTTCAATAAAATATATCAAGTCACACGTTAACGGCAAATGGCTTTGGCAGGACACATTCGAGATTGCATGCATCGTGGATGGAGGATGGGGTGAAGCCAACTATTGACAAAGTTCTACACCTCAACCAGAAGGCAAGGTGCAGAACAGCCAGACTTTTGTGAAGTTCATAGCATGAGAGCAATCTGAATGAAATTCATTTACTATTGTGAGAAGGGTCTTAAAATCGTGCGCCGAAGAGAAGCATAGAACAAGTAGGACGAAGGGTAATCATTGCAAGCTCCATATAGTTCTCATGCGAACCGAATCTTTTAGAGTCGAATTTCTTTGAGAAAGGCCGTGTTCAAATCTTGAGATTAAATTCCAGGGAAGGTATATTCCATGAACAGCTGGCTTCGACAAAAAAGGAGGCCAAAGACTGGTCAGCTGACTTAAAAAGCGAATTACACAATTGTAT